ATATATTTGTACTTGTTGTTAGTCTGAACATTTTTACTTGAACATTCTCCATATGTCTTTTTCAATGAGAAGTGTTTTGACCATAGCAAGTTGTTCTTGCATTTGTAGAGTTTTTTTCTTATTATTTTGTAGATGAAGCAGGACACAGTCACTGAGCAAGAAAAGGATGTTTCTAATAAGAAGTAGCTGAAAAAGCTTAAAACAATGTCAAGGTTTCACAAATTCACAAGTTTAAAATAATTCTGTACTAATCTCTTTTCAGGTGTGATTTCATTAGATTACTGTATTTTTTTTTTTACAAAGTGCATTAATCTGCAGCAAAAACATCACAGATTTAGGGCCTAGCATTCCTTGGACCTGCTGCCTGCCATAACAGAATTTTAATTCAGTATACTCAGTATCTGTTGAGGATGACTCTTAACTGACAAACTGTTGCACAAAAATGATTAACTGTGGCAGTCGTCTTGATTTGAGTTGACCCCAAATGTCAATCAGTTGGAGACGGTCATCCAGAAATTCCTTTCTGAAATTTAAATCTGTCCAATAGTTTATAATATATTTTAACAGACAGACATTGGTGAGTGTTAAAGTTAATGCCAAAGTTTTAAGCAAAATTTTGTGCCATGTATCATGCTCTGAGTATAACCCCAATTCAGATGAAACTGGGATAGTTTAAAACAAATAAAAACTGAATATGATGATTTGCAAATCAAATGAGTGAATATTTGCTAAAAAAAAAAGAGAGTCAAGTTTATGTGTTTGAACATTGAATATCATGTCTTTGTAGTGTGCTCAACTGAATATAGGTTGAAAAGGATTTGCAAATCGTATTCTGTTTTTATTAATGTTTTATACAAATGTTCCCAACTTTATTGAATTTGGGGTTGTATTTKTTAAGCATGATTTTCAGCTGCTACACCGCCAAATTTGAGCTCTATCTGTATAAAATTCCCAGAAGTACTTTTGTATTTGCTGAATTTGATTGGCTGTAATCTTTAAACCAGGGGTTCTTAACCGTTTTGACCTCGAGGCCCAATTTGTTGAACATAAAGTGACCCAGTCACACATTACCAATGCACGGATCAAAATGATAATTACTCTAAATCTTGGTATAATTTTTTATTGTATTTGCATTATAACTAAATTAAATACACTTACATTTTAAAAGTAAAACTCCTGTCAAATAATCACAACACATGATTATGACAAACATTTTTACATTGTAACCTGCCCATAACAATTATTTGAACAAATACAAATATCAGTCAACAGACCACTCAGGTTTATCGACACAAAAATAACATTTTTAACATAAACAACAAAAATA